TCAGCAGGATGTTTGCGTAATACACAAAAGGCCGTCCGAATCCGGGGAAGAGGGCATTCTTTGTGTAGAATTCTCCTGTCACCATAGCTGAAACCTTCCAAGGTAACAAGAATGGGAAGAAGGGGCATTTTAAGTTTTGATAAAAGCAGTTCACAGAAGTAAGATAGTGAACAAGGAAGGTTCTTACATGATCTCCCTCCTCAAAATGTCGTGATACTTTCCGTTCCAACACATCTGGAAACATTCCGACCTACACAAAAAAGGAAACTGCAAACTTTTATTTTCCACCGGGCAGAGAAACTTTTCGTCTCTTCAAACCAATTAAAATTTTCTCATTCTTACTTTTTTCAAGACGTAGCTGTCGAGATTTTCTAATCGAGATTCAGAAAAATCACCCTTTCTGTAAAGTGTCTCGCCTGCCTCCGCTGCAGCATGATACAGTTTGCTCCCATCTTTTGCATCTTCTTCAACCAGAATCCGGTGGATATACTCGTCTACCTGTGTACTGAAAGCTTCAAATTACATTTTTTTTGGGAACACTCTACTATATAATTAGATTGATCAAATAGGAAACATAAAACATCACATTGAACAGATTAATCGACACAAAGCGCTCTCAGCACAGCGTATTTACATTTCTAGCTAAAAGCCAGACTCCGTTCCTCCAAACTTCCACAACTGGCATATCCATTCTGTGCCAGACAGAAAAAGAAACATGTATAACGAATATCACAACGGTATATCTTATCGGTGTTGCGTGTCCAAGAACATCCAAACTATACAAATATTGAGCTTCTTACCCGGGTGGAGCGGTCGGCCACCTGAGCAGTGCAGTCACGGAGCCTGACAAGACAACATGGTAATTATTACAAAACCAGGAAAAAGGGAAACTGTACAAAAGCTATGGAGAAAGATAATGAGAATCACAATGATACTAATTAAGTCTTGTCTTGCCTGAGAGATTTTGTGAAAGAGGGATGGCGAGAGGGATTAGTCCTTGCTTAGCTCCGGGGGAAATGACAGTTTCACCTGCAGGAGATCCAAGCGATATAAGGGTGACTGAAGAATCTTAAAGCCTCTTCGGTTTAGTACATCTAGACAAAAGATTTCATGTCAAAACCTCTCCTTCAAACAAACTCCGTTCTTTAAGATCAGATAAAACGATGAATATCTTGCACAAAATGAAAACTTTTTCATTCCATTCCATTTCTGAACATAAAAGGTAAGAGATTTCCAGAAGGAAAACCAAAATTTTTGTGTCAATTCCATTCTTGAGAAAAAAAAAATCCGACATGACAACAGAGATAAGCATTGTCACCTCTCGTTTGAAGAACATTAAGCAAGTGCTGGAGGTGCAGAGGAGGTTCGGTGACAGCTACGTTTTTTATGAATGACACATGAGCTGTAGCAGAACTCTTAGTTAGCAAAAGAAGACACATGATACTTGAAAACCAAACTGCATTACTATCGTATCGGTCCAACTCTGGATCATGCACACTTAACCTTGTAAAATGTATGTATAGGCATGCATTTTCGAGTCATTTATGTACGTCATTGCTTCATATAACAGGTTTGAATCAAATGCAAGACTTTCACACTGCATAACCCTGAAGAAAATCATCTCCTTACACTCTAAAAGTATCCATGTTACATAGCTACAGACAACCAGAAAACATCTAGCAGCAACTTAATAACATTTGGAGTTGATTTCTTTTCCAAATGCGCCTCATAGCCTCATTGAGAAGAGACCGAAAGGCGCCAAATTTGCAGCGAGAGAAGTAAATCAAACACGGAGACAAATAAGCGTTATTTCTCGTCTTTTATCCGATTTCGAACTCCAACTTTGTCAACGTATCAACCATTTCCAAAATCAGGTCGATTTTTCAACAACCCATCATCGAAAGTTTCGAAATTTCTACGGAAAAAAAGCCAGGGTTATGTGCAATGGCATTTACCAGAGGAGGAGCAAGAAACCCTAGTTCTCCGATGGCGAAAAAGGAGAGAAGAAGTGGGAGGAGGAGGAGTTCGATGCAACAACGGAGAGACCATGTCGTGTTCTTCTTTCGTTTAACGGTCCTCACAGCGACACCACCACCATCGTTTTGTAAATGGTGATGGAGGATAAGAACTCAAATCCAAATATGGCCATATAACTTTCGGATTCAGACCGGTTCTTTTCCCGGTTTTGAAGTTCGGTTTGACGCTATGGTCGAGCACGATTTTATTTCTTTAACGGTGGGATTTGATTAAAAACGTATATATTAGAAATATTCGAATGATTTTGTATTATCTATTTTTATGGATTCTATATTCTAATTTCATATTTATTCGAATTCCAATTTAGGTCACTTCTGTTTTTTTTAATTTATAAAATCATTTTTGAGTTGTTTTCTATTAATATATAATAACTGGTTCAAATCCCACCACTATTACATACATACATAAAAAGGTGCACCCATAAAATAAAAATATTTGGATGATAATCTTCCACGAAACCGGCCTAAGATTCTTCGCAGTAAAAAGGATAACCCAACTTATTTTATTAAAAAGGACGACCAAATTTATTTAGTCTTATCTCTTAATAAAGTTTCTTAAGATTAAAAAAACAGAAACACCACTAAAAATACTAACACTTCGATGAATAATTTCATGCATTTTGTGGCTTAAAATAAGCTTTAAAAGCGGAAT